AAATAAAAACAAAAACAAATAGAAACCACAAAAAAAAAAAAAAAAGAAAGATAAGAATTTAGATATGAATCTAAAAAAAATATGACAATATCTAAATTTGAATTATGATTTAGTAATATAATTATCTAAATTTTTATGTATATCTATCAAAATTTTAAATCACTTAATGAGACAAATTAATCAATTTTTAAGTCTTATTTAAAGAATAATCTGAGTAGTCATCCCAGCTCCTAAACTTCGCGGGTACTGGCGGATGAGCTAACGGATTGGATTAGGTGAGTTCTAAGTTGTTGGAGGTAACATTCTCTCATTCCACAAATTTAATTATTTTTTAATTTTTTTTTTCCACGTATGATTCTCTTTCTTTGCTGTTGGTTTGGTTTTGGTTTCGGTTTTAGTGAGGTTTATGTGTTTGTTTATAGATTTACATGATGGAGAAGAATTATTGGTGATTATGGTTGCAATCAAAGTATCTATGTTTGTTCTGTACCAAAAATTTTGATCGGATTTTGTTTTCTTCAATGAAAATCATAAAGTTGAAGTAAAAAAAAATGGGTATCAATATTTTTTATTGTCATTTTATTTTATAAAAAAATGTGAAAATTTATTGAGAATTCAAGATTTTACTATAACATTAGATAAATTTAAAACTTTTAAATACCATTGTGTTATTTATTTTTATCCTCTTTCTATCTCATTATACCATTATTGCTATTTGTTAGTTTGTTAATTATAATTCAATTAATTAAAAATGAAATTTTAATATAACTTATGATATATATTACAGTTAATTTGTTATAGCTATAATTGTATATAATAGCTTAGTATATAGGAATAATCTCTAAATATAATTTCTATTATTTTATGTGATTAAATAGTTCATCTTAAATAGTATATAGAAGAGTTAAATGACTTTTTAATTTTTAACTTGAAACATCAATTGTTTATGTCCATAAAACAAAATTAATAAACACATATCCAAAAGCTACATTTTTTTAAATATATAGGATATTTACAAATGAAAAATGTTTGACACCTCAAATTTTTTTCGATAATTTGACTTATAATGATATAGTCATAAGTGTCAATTTTTATACAAATATAAGAAGAGAATTAATTAAATTATACATTTCAACCAACCACATACTCAAACTTTAACTATTTCAATATGTTATTTCATTATAATTCCAATTAAGAGAATCTTCGACCCCTAATATTTTTTTTTATCAAATTATAATTTGATAAAAATTTAAAAAGATGAAATGTTGAAAGTTATTATTTTTTCCACCAAAATTGGTGAGAAAAAAAAAATTGGGATAAGAATGAAGTTCTTTTAAAAATTGATAAAAAATTAATAAAAAAGTTAAAGTAATTCATATCAAAGCAAAATTTTTATTCAAATTTAAAATCAAATTAGATAAAAAAAATTAAAAGAAAATAATGAAAGTTTGAAAATATTTTGAAACCTTCGTATTATTAAAGACTACAAATTCATGTGTGTATTATATTCATATTGTATTTTTAGTTATGAAATTGAAATTAAAAGAAATGTAACTTAAATTATTTGATTAATAATAGAAACATTATATTAATTATTGTTAAATATCACTTCACTTCACATTTAATAATAAAATTGTATATTTGTTTTAATTATAATTTTTAAATTTGTATATTTTCATAATAATAAGAGATATGTCACAACTTATTTAATCAGATTTAACTTTTTTTTAATACAAATTATCAAAATTGTACTAAATAGATTTATATATATATATATATATTTTTTAATTTTTTTAAACTAATAATTTAAAAAGTTATAAACTTATAAATTTCATGTATACCATAAGACAAAATATTAAATTATTTCAAAATAATTATAATAATTTGTTTTTTTTTAATTTATAAAATTTCGTGCATAGCACGGGTTAACACTAGTTTATATTTATAAGGAAAATGGACTTTTTAGGAAGAAGTCTTCTACGAACTCCAAATTTTCATTCTAATTTTTTTTGACTTTCTTAATTTTAATTGAGTTGTTTAATTTTGATAATCCCACATTATGAGGAAAAAAAAAAAGAGTTGTTTTACTCATATAAAGAGAATCTTATACTCCCATCCCATTTAGTGATTAGCCTTATGAGAGTTTCAATATCTCATACTAATTTTATTGATTTTCTTAATTTTAAATAATTAAGAAAATTTCCATTGATTAACTTTTATTTGATAATTCCATATCAAGATTTTGACAATCTCACATCGAGAGAAGAAGAAAAAAATGATATGTGCTTCTCTTTTTTTTTAATCCTGAATTTAGTGTGAACATAAATTAAGATAGATGTATTTCATTCAAGATAGATGTATTTCATTCAAGTAGGATCCTTTTTTTTTTTTTATGAAGAAACAAAATGCCATTTTTTTAGTGAGAACATAAATTAAGATAGATGTATTTCATTCAAGTAGGATCCATTACATAATTTTTATTTTCCATGAATCTACACTATTAAAAACAGAAATTGAGCAATAAATAGATTAAAGTTTTACAATAGTAAATAGGAAAACCCTCAATCAACAAAGCTTGTGCACAAAACTTCATCTTGGACTCACAATTGTGCAAAAGGAAGAAAAAAAAAATTGTGATTTAAATCCCCACTAAAACATAAAACACATCCTTTGACAATACAAATTTCATTCCCACAAAAAACAAAAACAATAAATAGTTAGTAATTTAAATTCAGTTTTCTAGAAATTAAATTTTTTATTTTTCGTATTTTTTTGTTTTTATTTTAGTGAATATTTTTAAAATTTCAAGTAATTTTTTTACTTTATTAGATGCACCTTACTTATATATATGTATATAGTAAAATATTTGTGAAAAAAATATTTTAAAAAATTAATAAATATACAAAAATACGAAAAATGTACTGAATTTTCTTTCTTTCTTTCTTTTTTTTTATATATATTTTTGGTATAGAAAATGACTCAGAGCTCGAAACTGAGAGGCTCGAAATTGCTAGAATTTTTTTTTCCTTTTCAAGCAAAGGAGCTCTGCACAAACAGAGGGAAGAGGAGAGGAGAAAGAGGGAGAGAAGAGAGGAAGAAGAGAGGAGAAGAGAAAGAGGAGGAGGCAGCACCACCGCCGCCGATCGTCGCAGCACCACCTCCTCGCCGATCGTCGCAATCGCAGCACCACCGCCTCGCCGATCACAGCTCGTCGCAGCACCACCGCCTCCGCCGCGCCTCCGCCACTGGTTGAGGCCCCCTCCTGTCCAGTTCTCCCTTCTCCCTTCTCCCTTCTCCCTTCCCTTCTTCTTCTTCTTCTTCTTCTCCCCTCTTCGTTTCTGATTGAACAAAAACACAGGAAAAAAAAAAAAAAAACACCAAAACAACGTCGTTTGGTGTCGAGCCAAATTCGAGCCAAAGAATTTCGAGTTACGTAGCACTGCTATTTTTGGTATTTAGTGAATTTTTTTTTAAAAAAATTCACAAATATTATACTTTTTAAGCATATTTATGTTAGGTGTGCCTAAAAATTTTTTAAAAAAATTTGCTTAAAATATTCAAAAAATCAATGAAAACAATAAAAATACGAAAAAGTAAAATTTTTTAAAAAGTAAATTCTGAAAACTGAAACGAAACAGAGTGAATAGTACTTAGCCACAGTTATAAACTAAATCATCAATTATTTTACCAAAAGTAGGTTCACATGTGATTAATTAGTAAAATAGTTAGTAATATAATTTGTATCTATATATATATATATATTTTGGGATAATAATAATCCCAAAGGCCAACTAAAAAAAGGTACCGAAATCATCAACAAAATTAATATTTCTAAAATATCATACTTACATGTGATTTGTTTAATTTGATTATAATCACAAGTAGTAGTTTGTTATAATTAATTGTATTTTCTATTTTATTGAATATTTTTTAAATAATTCAATTCTCTTGTCCTTAACTTCCCTACTATTTAAATTTGTATTCAACTGTCTCTTGCCTGCACTCAGCACAGTTGGTTTTATATTTTACATAGAAAAAAGAAGTGCAAAATCATTTTCCAACCTCGCCTTCAAAAAAATAATCAAAATAGAAACAAAACAAGAGGAAACAGCTCTGTTTTAACGTTCACAAGAAATTTTCAGTTTTCAAGTCAAACTTTAATGATTGAATTCAAATAGGTATAATTTTTAAAGCAAATGAACTTTATAAAGGAAAAATATTGACAATTTGTATAATCTAATCTAACCTAACTCGAAGGGAAATGATAGGATATATGGGGGTTGAACACCGGATCAGACAACAAGATCTCAAATTCATTGAATTTCATAACCTTTTTAGACCCTGAACCTTTCAGACCTTAAACATTCAACTTCCCATGTAAGAGTGTTGAAATAATGTCATCAAACCTATATGTCATTGGCCAACCAAGCCCCCTCGAGGGCGGCTAGTAATTTCTCAGTAAAAATTATATCATTGAGAGAGAGGTCTTTTTCTACTTTTCCTTTCTTTTTATAAAAGGCAAAGTCTAGGTTTCTTGAAGGATCAACACATCCCCCAAAACAAAGCCCTGGCTTTGAAGTGTTGAAATAGAAACCACCGTTGTTACCACCACTGCTGCTTCTACTACCCCAACCACCAACGCCATCATTTTGAAGATTGCAATCAAAGGCATAAAACATTTTTCGTGAAAGATGTTTTTCCCACGAAATTGGTTTGTGCCGAAACAAATAGAGCAGAAGATACCAAATCGTTTTTCTCCATAAAATGAACTGTTCATAAACTGGAGCAAGGATGAGGTCTTACAAATGTAATCTCCCTCAAATAACCAGTGCAATTTGAAGTCAGCATACAATCCAAGACGCAAAATGAAATCTCAATGCTAATAACAATTTTAGAATTTCCATGTGAGGATAATGTACACTATTACAAGGTCACGTGTAGTATGTTTGGATTTTACAACCAATGTGTGTGTTTTTTTTTTTTTTTTTTTACGTAAATAGTTTTTTTTTTTTTTTAAGAGTGCACAATCAAGGTGTTGAGGCCTGTGCTTTTCATCTTTTATGTATTTAAGACAACAACACTACCTGCTTTAGTAGCTTTTTCTTCACACATTCACGGCTCTGCAGCAAAATCTTCCATCAAAGCATGCTCCAAAGAATTCTGCACACATTTGCCCAGTAAAAACGCATCAAGGTTTTAATCTTGTAAGTGCTTCACCTAGAAAGACAAAATGCATCAAAACTATTTACACGTACAATTTTATCAATTTCTTTGTTTATTTATCAAAAAGTAAATGGAAAATTGTGAAAATGTCCAGTACTGAGTAAACTTACAAAAATATGTTGACATTGTCGGATAAATCTATAAATTCACAGTTCATAAAACGAAGGTGAATATCATATGTTTCTAAACTGATACGGTGTGGCTTTGGATTGGTAATTTGGTCTTTTCCCATCAGGCAAACCACTGTCGCTAACACTACCTTCGATAATGTTATCGTGCACTTCGGAAAATTCTTTCGTCCATGAATTCAAGGGGATAAGATAACTATCATCCTTAGATTTCTTTCTCTGTTCCTCGAACCGTTTGACATTTTCAGATATCTGGTGTAAAGTTTTGTTTATTTTTGCAATTCCCCTTTCAACTGGTTCCACAACATGTGAAACCGTGAACTTCATGTCATCTACAATCTAGAGAGCACGGGAAGAAAAAAAAAAAAAAAAAGACGAAAGTGATCAGAGGTGAGCACAAAATTTGAAAAGCAATAACTAAAAGGGAGCAAAGTAATGCAATCTCACTATTTCACTGCTTCCAAAAACCACATCATGAACACTCTGGGGGAAATTCAAACGCTTTTCTCTCTCATCATGACGAGGAAAGGATACTCTAGTAGATCTTTCACAGTCTTGAACCTCCTCTGGATCTGGAGGTGCTCCTAAGGATGCGTAGTCAGTCATTACAGCCACGTTGCGCACACATCTTTCTCCACGCTTGTAAGGTACTGCTGGAAAAACATACAGATGGACCACTGCAGCAATACCCATCTGTTTGACAAGTTCAACATCATAAGCCTCCAAAACATAACCTTTTGAAGAACTCCTATCTCAACTCAATATGCATACCAATCAGAGATTTTACTCAACAGGAGTGAGGGAAAACAGAAAACCAAAAACAGAACACAACAAAAATATAAAACAAATTCAATATATTAAGAAGCTAACTTCATGCATCATGCCTTGTTTAACTTATTATTAATTTATACAAACTGATTAAATCAGTTTTTTGAGTAGAACAATTTCATACATGGTTTGTTAAAGGTTAAGTGAAGCAAATCTTGCACAATGAATCTCCTCAGCCACAAGAGAACTGGTTTTATTTTAAGAGGCCATGTGTAAGCCTGGCAAAGAAAAGGAAGAACAGCATCTTGACACAGCAAGGAACACAGTACATCAGAAGTATTGAAGGCAGCAAAACTTTGCAATGAATAACCTGTGTAAACCTCATCAATTGAATTTCAAGTGTTTTGGCTAGCAAATATGATAATTCAAAGTGTTTTCATAGCATGCTTAAAGAGCTGCACTGTCGATAATTTTAACTTGAGGAAACATATACAAACGTAGACACTTCTAAGAAGGTGACATGGCGTGTCTCACATCAACATGATGTGATACTCATCAAACACTTCTTGACACCTGGCAGACCCATGTCCAAACATGCCCTATTATTGCTTAAAATTTTCTAGATTCGGACACCCTTTCAGACACTTGAGTAACACATGTCTATTGTTTAGACACACATAAAACACATTACATGTTCAAATAAAATAACCTAAAACCCAATAATAATAATAATAATAATAATAACAATAATAAATAATAAAAAATAAATACCTATCCTCCTCCTTTAGGCTTCAGAAACTAGTGTTACATTCCATTTTGCTATTATATTTTAATTAAATATTCATATACATGACATATAATAATTGTTTATCCTCATCCTTATATAATAAACATAAAAAAAGTACATATTTTGCGCGTGTCCCCCACATGTCACATCCTACATTTTTTGAAAATTTCCGTGTTGGCATGTCTGTGCCCATGCTTTTTAGCATGCAGCTGTACCATTTATTGTTAATGTTATTGGGCCTTCACATATATTATACCTGTCACCTTAACTTTAATTTTTCAATTCAAAAGTAATACTATCTTTGACATAGACTAACAACCCTATTTCAAAATTATGAGAATACAAGGGGCAAGCATTATATGTGATGTGAATGAATAAGCAGCGTAATACAAACGTAATAACCCAAATACAAGCAATCAATGAAATTTCAAAAAATGGAATCATATCTCTACACACCTCAATACAGATGATGTAGTCTTGTATATGTGTTTTCAACTCCTGTGCCAGGGCCCCTTTAAAGGCTCCCATCGAAAAAAGAAATGCAACAGCCAAACCTTGCCACCATGTCAGGAATACAATCGACTTGAATGTCAAAAACTTGGCCAAAGGTTTAATCGGTGCCAACTTATCTTTTATGACAGTATAGAACTGCACAAGACAATATAAGGCCCAGGTTTGACTAAAATTAAGAACAACTGCCAAGTATGGATATCTGCAAGCAGATTAAAAAGTTTCAGGATCAGAATTAAAGTGTTCCAGGCAAAGAAGTTAGCCTGAGTAGAACAGAAGGTACTTCAAAATAATCTTCCATTAAAACTGGATGATGTGGCTCTAAAGTATAGCAGTGAAAAAAGTAGAAGATTGTAAAGTGAATGAGCTTTGAGATCTTTGAAGAACAAAAATCACAGGATATTAAGGATATCTTACGCATATTTCCACTCAAATTTCCCATCACCATAAACACCAAAGAATTCAAAGACCATAGCCAGCAGAGCACAGATCATCTTTAGTATCATCTGGAAAGCAAACATCTTAGTAGACTGCTTAGAGAATTTGTCAAATTTGAACAAGGGAATGATCCCACAAGGTCTAAGATATCAAAGAACACATACATACTGAACAATGCCAATTTTAACAGCTTGATAGAACTCAGAACCAAGATGCCACTCCTTTAGCAAGCAATTTAGCGGGAAAGGATGTTCTACAACCCCATAAGCATAAGCTTCTTCCAAAAGAGGTATGCTGGAAGAAGTATTAAGGCTTTGACTTTCCATGAATTCAATTGTTTTTTCTTCACCACCTTTAAGTAATAATACATTTGTCAAAAACATGTAGTTGAAGTTCCATCAAGGGCACCAAAATATTACAGATAATTGATGAACAACTTCTATAAATAGACAAAATTTCAAGGTCAACAAAGAAAATAAAAGGCTAGCAAGGTTACAAGAATAATTAACATTGCTATTTTTGTCAGTGATAATTTGCCCATCATACCTCAAGAGATGTTTCTAGAATAATTAAAATATTTTCCTTGGTGGTCCGATTGTTGGAGGTTCAACACTATATTTAACAATCCAAGAAACGTCTCTTTCTACTTCATAAAATCATGCATGTATCAGTTATGAGAGCAAATACATAAAAGTTTCATGAAGTTGACCCTACAAAGGTATTCTTGCGCCTTGCCTAAGGGGGTCTGATTGGCTTAAGCATCCCTAGACAGTGAGTAAACTACTGCATTTTGTGCACTAATAAAACCTATGTTAGAGATGATTCCATAGTCTACAGACTCTTTTTTACTCATCCACAGGAGAGGTAGCTCAATATACGTGCAAGCACCCAACCATACACATTGCCATTAATTAGCCCGCATATCACACTAGCAATAATCAAATGGAAATAAACTCAAGCTGGCCTCATTGTGGGAGAAACAAACATTGAACTTGAGGCCATTTCACTGGCCGTATCATCCAATTTCCATATCAATTGCAAGAAATACTTTCCAGAAAGAAAGGAAACACAAAACACCAAAATGACTTTCTTATGCATGTTAATGCAATGTCCTTCAACTATCCTTTATGAACAGGTATTTACTCAAAATGGCAGCCAAGAACAAACGATATCATATTATATATCAATTGGCAAGGATTTGTAGATTCATTTTAAACATACCAAAAGTAAAATTCCTTGTTATGAATACATAGGCATCCACCAATAATGGAGAAAAAAGAACCTCAATAAGGTTGGTTAATCCAGAACAATTTTCATGTTACAACATAAATATAATTTGGAAAAGGAAGAGATTCAATGTTCAAATCTTCCATGTACCAAGTTCTACACTTATGGCTATCACTAAAGGTAAAGCAGGGATACTCATTAGGTCCTCCAACATACCTAAGCAAGCTATCAGATATCTCTCAAAGCAATATAAGGCAAAAGCCTCATAACAGTCCCGGATTATTTCGCAGTTGAATGAAGCTTTTGAATCCAATAGTGACATAAACTGTAAGAGAAGAAAAAGAAAAGAAAAGAAAATAAGTGTTAGAAATCAACATTAGAGTCAATTACTCATAATTGCTGAAAATAACTTGAAGAGCATACATGCTTAATGACTTTTATCTCTGTTCAACTATGAGGGCAAACAGGGAAAGCTAATACTTTTACAATAACTCAACTTCCTACACCCTAATAACTTCCCACATCTTCAGCTTCCTACATCCTAATAACTTCCCACATCAATGGATGGGTTGCCAAAGTTCATGCTGTTCAGGTCATTGATAGGCTGATAGTACATTTCAGTTACAGTGCCACAGGATGCGTGTTATTCTTGGTGAAATCTATTCTGGCAAGGCAACTACTGATCCTCCTCCCTCTTTTGTTTTCTATTATCACACCTTTGGAAGCAAGTGTAACATTCATTCTTTCAAGAACTAAAAACTAGAAAATGTTGGAGTTGAAGATTATTATTGTTGATTCAAGTACAAAGCCGCCACAAGTGTGCATACATGCCTGACCGTGTTGCACTGTCAGTGTGTTTACAATTCTGTCTGGTCGTTCATTGAGATTTTATTGATCATATTTGTGGCTTAAGGAACTTTTTTGGGATTTTGTTTTGAAGGTATTGCAAAGGTAAAATGTCATATAACCCAGATGATTTGATGGTACAGTCAGTGTGAGGGGTGCAGGGACTGGTATGTAAATTGTGTTTTCGATTGTTATCTTTCTTGATAGTGAATTGATCTTACAATTTGGTTAAACTTTCAATTTCCATAACTTTTTCATTATTACTCACCCAAAATATTGAAAAAAATGAAGGGGGGAAAAAAGTATCTATTTTCCAACATATCTCCTTTTCTGTTACATAAATGTTTTTCTTAAATGTTGAATGTCTATTGTGTGTGCACTGTTTATTACAGATGCTGACACCTCACACACACACCCCAAGGAATGGCACCATTCACACTGATTATATATATTACAAACATTTGACACAATTAACATGCCATTTTTTCATGCTCAACATAAATGCATTTTTTTTTCCCTATAATAAATATGGCAGCAAGACTTAAAACACAGAAGATTGTCAGCTACAAGCTTCACTTTGTCACATACCAGCAGCACTCTGGAGGTAGATCCTTCTTAAATGAACAACTTTGATAGAAGCTAAAAAGCCTTGATAAACTTGTATATAGATGGACAGAAAGCAAAGAAGAAATTAAAAATGATAGTTAGTTTTCCACATACCGATTCCAGTGCATAAACAGGAACCATCAGAATGAGCCCAACTAAGAATTTCTGCTCCTGAAATTAAATATCAACCTGACAGCTATCAATTCCATATGATAAGAAAGAAAAAAATAGAATGAAGTTATTTATGAGGCAGCAACTAGCCATGCTAAAAAAATGAAAGCACAAGTTAAACCAGAAAAGGCCAAACTTCAACAATTACAAGAAATGTAAAAATTAACCTCAGGTTGATTGTAAGCGGCTAAATGCTCAAAGAGAAGATACATGGATAGAACAAAAGCAACGAGTACAAATACACCTGCACTGCACATTGTCCAGCTGTAGAGAAATGTTGCCCCAGAACCCAGATTAACAGGCAACATTTTGCCCGAACTGCCTGACGACTCCACCAGAGTGAGAACCAAAAATAACGAAAATAAGGCCCCCTTCCCATTCATCAGCAGAATTCAGTGATGAACGCTACTTTATCTAATGGAAAGTGTTTGATAATGGTATGCAGCACTTAATAAAGTCCACAAAGCATCTAGACCAATTGCCAGATGCTTTTACAATCCTATTACTACACCCTTCAATTTAGTTAGAATCTACAGAACTGCCCATCTCCAACATAATGTTGTCACTGAGGAAAGCCTACCCAATTGCCTGCAACGAGAAGCCCCAGAGGGATTTTGAGAATTAATACTGCAAAATACTTTTGATGTTAAGTAATGACTTTTTGATAAGGAGGAATGAAAGAAGCTTGTAGGAACGGGACCAGAAATCCTGCAACGAACATAGGGAAGAAGTCAACAAATCAGTCTACCTGCGGATTGACAACAACATTACGCAATGAATATATCCCAACTTCCAAGCAATGGAATTAGAGGAGTTATTAAACTCTAAAATTTACCAATAAAGCCAAAAGAGAAAATACATCATTCTTGATCTAAAGGAGCATATAAACAAGTGTTTCACTCATAAAGAATATTTCCCACCCCATTAACACAAACCACAGTGGTGTTGGAATCTAGTTAGGCTGTTAGCCATCTCACAAATCTTTGCTTCTTTGATATTGCTCAAGACAACTTGCAGATACTAGGTCAAATGTAGTTAGCCTGGGTGAAACCAGATTTCACACGTTTTCTTAACTGCCTCAAGTATAATAATCCCAATTTTTAAAATTTCCAAAACTAAAACATCTTTGTTCTCCTTTCCCCAATTTTGCACCATTAATTTCAAAGGGCCAGGGTCATATAACACTGTTCATTTCAATCTCCAAATTCACAGATGTTTCAGTGTATATGTCCATCATATCAACTTTTTGTTTCAAAGAAAATCTGCAGCATCCTATCACATGACCAAACTCCCAAAACTGTTATGCAAATAGCTTACATTGCACTTCCTGCTCCAAACTTCACATCGTTGCCTTTCACATTACCAGCGAAGACAATGAATTAGGCAAAAAAGATTCACCATATTCCAATTTCCAAGACCCATCTGAATCATTGGTCCTTCACAATTAGTTTCATCCCTACCCTCTTTTCTTTACACAAAAAGGGATCCAATTGTGTAAATAAACCCCAACTATTTCCATCTAACTCCCACAACAACAAATCCAATGTCAAATTCTAAATTTGAAGACAATCAAAGAGACAGTGTGAAGACCAAGAAATGAACCAATTTCCACCCAAACTGGTCAGAGAACAACTTACCAAGTACCAACTAACAGTCATACACATCCATAAATATTCAAACAGACCGATTATAACTCAAGAACACTAGGTTAATCTCCAAATCACAAACAATGATCTTTTAAAAACAACAACATTCATATTAAGAAGAAAATTTTCAAATCTATACAGAGAGAGAGAGAGAGAGAGAGAGAGAGAAGAGAGAGAGAGAAGGAAAAGGCGACAAACCGAGCACACAAATCGATACTAGTCGGAAAAGCAAAATGTAATTCGCGAGAGAAGAAGTTGAAGAGAAGGCGTCCAGATTCTAACCTGTTTCTCGACCAACTTTCCCGGAAAATTGAGAGAGATAAATTTTCCGACTAGATTCGAAGCGAAACGAGAGTCTAGTTCTTAGGGCCGAAGCAAATATATATATATAAAAACTGATTTTGCGTGGGTAGTTGGGAAAACACAATTTGGGTGCTCGGGGCTGTGAATGTCGGTGGTCACAGTCCCTTTGGTGCCGTTGATTTGGATGGAGATTTTATGTGATTGGGTCCCACCTGTTGAAAAAACTGTACTGACCATCAAATCATACGACTGTGAGAGTATTGATGATGACAGGTGAGTAACTTTATATTTTTGGTCAAATTTCCACGTAAGCACATTCAGGCGGCAGTTAGGTTGCATTTTGAAAAACTTGCCAGGTCAGACTTGGACTGGTAGGTTTGGGGGTTTATAAATGTCAACTATAAAGCCCTAAAACGAAGTGGATCGGCTGTACTTGGAATTGAAACGGGTTGAACTAATTGTCACAGGCCCTAACTATTTTAACTTCTGGCCCTGTTATAATTAGAGGTCTAAGAAAAAAAATAACAGCCGTTAGATCTGTCTGTTTAGGTGAAAAATATATTTTAATAAAAAAATTTTAAAATATATTTTTTGTAAAAAATATTTTTAATGTTTGGTGGTAGTGGTGGTGACGATGGGACGAAAGTGTAGCTGGCATGGTTATGGAGTGGCGGCGACAGTAATAGTAGCGTTGGATGTGGTATTGGTGGTATAGCAATGGTAGTATGATGATATTAGTAAAATTTTAGTTCAAAAAATATTTTTCTACATTTTAAAAGTAGAAAATATTTTTTATTCAAATAGATTTTTTTTTCTTTTTTATCATGAAAAATAGTTTTTGTTGATTTTTGTTTTCTATTATAACAAACGCCAAAGAATACATAAAATATTTTTTTTAAAAAAAAATTCGCCCAAACCATTAGAATGTTGTTGATTGGATTTATTTATTTATTTATAAGTCTTCAATAAATCTAGTCTACAGACTGACTCATAACTACCCAATAAATTAGATAATTCGAAGCGATTACTTTCATATTTGAAAAGAAAAATGCTAGACCCTAAAATTTTTATTAAATATTTCATACACATTTGAATTCATTTGAATGTGAATGACCGAAGGTACTCCTTTTGTAATGAAGCGTAGGGTGAGAGGGATCTATAGAGCTACTTCCACTCTCGCTCTCTTCATTTTTTTCTAATGTGAAATTTCAAGTTTTTATAAAATTTCTTAAAACCTAATGTAAATTCTCCATTTATAGTAAATTAAAAGTTTGAAAAAATTAAACCGTAGCATTCTGTGGGTTTTGATATCTCAACTAACAAAACTGAATAATCTGATTCGGTGCTAAGTTTTCTCTCAATCCTCACTAAATAAAACTATGTACATCTCTAGTATTCAGGAAATTCTATTTATACCTAAAAAATATTAAGTACGTTAAATTTTTCAATATACTCTATTAAATTATTTAAGATTATAATTTATTTTCAATACATTTTATATATTTTTTTTAAATTACCCTTCAAGATATATCCAAATAATAACAAATCAAAAACCTTTCAGGGGCTGTAAATTACCCTTCAAGCTGGGCCAGATGTTAGTAGGAGTAGGTATCGACCCGTTGGTCTGCCTGGCTTGGCCTTATTTTTTTAAGGTTTGGAAAAGTTATTTTAGCTCATAAGGTTGGGTTCGGCCAACATTTCTAACTCGTATATTAATGGATTAAGCTTGGAATTTATACTTTCGAACCAGCCCAGCCCTGCCCAGCCTGCTATTAAATTAATTAATTATAATATATTAAAATATATATTTTTTATTGAGATCTAGACTTTATATTTGTTTATTTGTAGTGATGTGTGATTGAATTTATTTAAAAAATCTTTTAATTTATACACGAAATTCTTCAATTTATAATGATGTGAGTATATTTATTTAAGAAATATTATTTCTGATTGAATTTAATTATGAAATGTTTCAATTTATTTTTTTAATATATAACTCGATAGGTGAGCTTGGGATTTACAATTATTTTTTAGATCAGATTTTGCAAATATAGAGATCCAATATTAGAATTAGATTGAATTTAAACAGATACAAAGTCTCTTATTATATAATGTCGACCCGATCCCAACCCAGCCCAGCCCAACAAATGCACACGCCAAGCTGTTAGTACATCCCAATTAGATCTGTAAGAAAAATTAAGCTTTATAATAGCAAGCAACAATCATTGGTGATGATTCCCGATAATGATAAAAAAAAAAAAGAAAAAAAAGAAGCTCAAGTGGAGAGAGAAAATGTGCACTGGTTGAGGCATTGAGGGTTAAACGTTAAAAAAAATGATAAAAAATTAAAGAATACATGAATCTACTGATTTATGTGTGAGTAAATTTTGAAGGATTCTGATTATGAAAATTAGAGGGAATTACTTAATAGTTGGACAGTAAAAAAAATACATAAATATAGATAGATGCAAGTGAGACTTGTATCCTTATAATTTTTTACACTCCACTACAAATTCACCGGTATCACTAATGTTTTTGTAAATTTTTTTTGTATATCTAACTCTCAAGTAATTCTCTCATTTTTTTTAGAGAGTAAAATTACTTTCATTTCTTAATTAAACAGCAGTACTTACCTGATATCCATTCAATTCAAGAACAAATTAAGAAAAAAAAAAATTTACATAGAAACAATATATAGAAAACTGAAACACTCCGTTTGGTTTATTTTTTGAAAAAAGTTTTGAATTTTGAATTGTATTTTAAAAGGTAAATGGTTAGAAAGAATTTTGAAAATTAAAATTTTGTTTGGTTATGAATTTTAAAATAATTCTTAGATGATTTGTAGTTTATTATTATTATTGTAATTAAATAGATGAGTGTGAGAAAAAATTTAATTGATTGATATGTAGAATGAGAAAGAAAAAAGTAATTAATTGATTTATTAATAAAAAAAATAGAGAGAATGAGAGAGAAAATAATTTTTAAAAAAATTAAATTTATTAACTAAACATATTTTTTGATTTTTTTATTCAAATATTAAAAAAAAAAAAAAAAAAAAAAAAAGTGCTTAGATCAAACTTCCAAGTAACAAGTTTTGACCGACCTAACCAGATTGTGTCACGACCGGACTAATTCCGAAACCGGTTTTCCCAGAACATACTGCGACCGGACTAACTCTAAGACCGGCCCTACTCCGAGTTGTCTCTGGACCGGAGTAGCCTTACTCTTCCTTGGGCCGAAGCAACTATCTCTTCTTGAGCCGGAATAAACTCACCTCCTTGGGCCGAAGTAACTTTGTCTCCCCAAGGCCGGAGTAACCTTGCCCTCTAGGCCGGAGTATTCAGTACGGCCTTTTTACCTAGTCCTCTGCGTTTTGGGCCTAAAAACCCAACTCGAAGCTCGGCCCAATTTTTCCAAAAATTACCCTCTCAACAAATTAACTATTGACAAAAAATTGATCGATTAGATAGCTATCAATATCCGATCAACGTAATTTTTTATAGACATATAGTACTCGATGAGTTCTACACATTAAACGGTTCAAATTATCAAAACAAAATCCGTGGTGGACTCCCTCAAGCCGTGTAACACCATCCAATTTGATTTCAAATTGGAGGCAAGTTGCTTCTTTCTTCATAAATCTAATGACATTACAGTGAACCCCCAAATACCATTTAAGAGAACAAAGGTTAAACAATTCATAAAGACTAATGCTATATATGTGTCAATTAGTCCATTAACTAGTATATTAATTGATGAAATAACATAATTAAAATATTTTTAATATTTGTAATTTATGTGATTAATGAAATCAATAATAATGTCATAATTATCAAGCGTTTGGTGTAGCTGTTAAAACAACTTATATATTATAGCTTAATAGATTATAAATTATGACTTTAATCAGAAGTTGTTAATCTGTTTGGTGTAGCTGTTGAATTATAGATTTAAGTTGCTGAGTAGTGTTTGTTAAATAAGCTGTGAAATAGCTTTTTTAATTAATTTTTATTTTTAGTTATTTATTACTTGTCTACATTTCTCATAAAAAATAATAATAATAAGGAAAATGAATTGTGGCCCTAAAAACAGTGGCCCTAATTTCCTTTTTTGGATAAGTTTGTTTTTTTTTTATTTTTTTTTTTGCCTTGTTTTTTTTTTTTTTGCCTTATATGGAAATTTAAGGGCATTCGGGCCCCTAAATTTCGAGCTACCAACCAAATCCGTAATAATAATCTATAGTCCATTTGGGTCTTTTTCTATTTTTAAAAAAATAAAAAATAAAAATTCTAAGAGTATAACCATATATTAACATGTCCACAACAGAAACTGATAATCAGAAGTAAGGGGTGAACAACTTTTCAGAATCAACTTTTTTGAGTTAAAATAAACTGTTAGAATCAGAAGCTGTTTGAAATAAGTTTAACCAAACAGTCCAAAATAATTTTTTCAAAGCTAAAAATTATAAGCTAGCTTTGAAAAGCTGAAACAAACATCCCTTAGTGTTGGTACACTAGTTAATGTGTATATAACCCCACTCAATCATAAACTAACAATAAAAAATAATAATGTTAATAATAATGGATGGATTGAAAAAAAAAAGATGAAGAAATTTGAATATATAACAAATATGTACAAGTGATTAGGACATTTGTTTAGGCTAGTCCATAAGCAAAAAATTTATAGGCCTTGATTTCTTGGGCTAGCTAAGCTTGGCTCATAATGGGCTATTCCGATTTGTGGTCACTTTTAACTGATATAAGGTATTT